CCCTGACATCAGGCACTGAAGCAGTGGTGAAGATCAAAGGGAGTTTGTCCCTGATGCCAGGCAGAGGAGGGAGGAGAAACGAAGGCAGCAAGTACGAAGACAGCCTCATGGGAGATAATCAGGCCCAGGTGGTTATGGTTTGGCTCCTCCCAAGAGAGTATATAAGAAGAGACTTTGGGAGGAGACCTTTTGCAGGACACAACCATTTATACCAAGCTGGAGAAGCTCTTGTGTGTATTGTATCTCTTATCTTTGGGAGTCTGGGTTGCTGCCAATGTCTTGTCTGTGAGTAATTATACTGTGAATAAAGCATGGCTAACAGTAAGCTTTTGTCGGCGTTACTCACCGGACGGAGTGGGGTCAGAACATATAAGGGATTTGTATTGTGAGCGGAGGAGTGGAGGACTCTTCTCGTGAAATACCTCTGGACTCGCTTGATTGTGTTAATATCCGACGTAGAGTGTGGATTCCAGGCAGACTCTTTGGGGGAAATGTTGCAGCCTCCTTGGGACAAAATCCGAGTCATTCAAAAGAGGGTAGGATGGAGGCCTTGCGGAAGTGGGGGGGAGGCAGATTGTGGAGGGTAAGGGTTTTTTTCCAGGTAGGGTTTTTGGGTTATTGCTCTCCCTTTAGCCTGCTTTCCCTTCCCTTGCTCTCTCACTCCCACCAATCTGTCTGCTCTCCAATCCTTCAGCTTCCCTCCCAGAAGCTCCTTCTCTGCCCCCCTTTTTGCACCCTCAACCTCTTCCCCTTCCATCACCTCCTCTCCTCCCCACTGTCCTCAGAAACTCACGTTTGGTCCCTCAGCTGAAGCCCCTAATTCTGCCCCTTTGGGGTCTCTTTCAGGCTCCTCCTTGCACTCCCTTAAGTATTTCTACATCTCCGCCTCAGACCCCAGTCAAGGTCTGCCCCACTTTGTCGTTTGGGGCTATGTGGACAGTCAGCTCTTCACTCTCTACGACAGCAGCAGCAGGATGTTCCAGCCCAGAGCCTCCTGGATGGAGAAAGCGGAGAAGGACTATTGGGACACCCAGAGCCAGATCGGGCATGTCACGGAGGACGTCTACAGAGCAGCCCTGGAGACTCTGAGGAGTCGCCACAATCAGAGCAAAGGTAGGGTTTGGTGGCTCATCTTGTCTCATCTCCCACCCACCCCCCATCCCACCAAGGAGCAGGTCGGAGGGGGGAGAAAAGTGGTCCCTCCAGGGGTGAAATCTAATTCCCCCCACTGGTTCTGTGGGCGTGGCTTTAGCAATAGCAATAGCAGTTAGACGTATACCGCTTCATAGGGCTTTCAGCCCTCTCTAAGCGGTTTACAGAGTCAGCATATCNCTTTTTAGAGGCTTTTTTAAACAGTTAAGCACTAAGCCGAGTCATCCATGGTGACTCTGGCAGCAACTAGCTCAGCCTGGCCTCAGCTCTTGCCTTTTTCCTTTTACATTTTTCTTTTCTTTTCATGATGACAGTGGTGAGGCTTTGCCTCCCCTGACTGCACGTCCCTGGACTGCCCGGATAATAAGACCTCCCCAAAAATATTCCAACACAGAAGTAGCCATGGAGGTGACCACGCTTGACGCCTCCTGCACCTCAAAAATAATAAGGCCAAGTAATTATTTCAGGGGTCAAAAGAAAATAATACCCTGTCTTATTTTGGGGAAAATAATAGCAGCCTTTATTGTCATTGTACAAAACGTATACAATGAAATTGGTTGAGCCTCTACTGGTGCAATCCCAACAATTCCCAATTTATACAAGTAATTGGGGAAAGAAAGAAAAAAAACTAGTGATATGTTTCCGTATGCACGTGGAGTGATTGTGATTGTGTTTAGAAATCTTGACAAAATAAAATGGAGGCTGGAGGCTGATTGGAAAGTGGTCAGTTTATTGGTGAACAGAATCTTGCACTTAGAAAGATGGAGTGCCATTCTGGGAAAGCTGAAACACCTAGCTAGATGTGTGCCAGGATTTTTATGCAGATCCTGAAATGCTGCTGGGTGGGGTGAGTGGGTTGTGCAGTGGAAGAGGCTTGTGTTCTGAAAGGGTGTTGGGCAATTCCTTTTGTGGCTTAGGGCTTTCATCCTGCGTTGGATCTTGGGTGAGGGGCTGCAAGCTAATTGGCTTCCTCTTTCAATAAGCTCTTTATCTCCTTAAGTGCTGGTATCTGTTGTGGGCTATTAAGAAAGACAGGGGGCTGCTTTCTGCCTCTAAAAACATGCTTCTCCGTGTCTCCTTTAGGAGAAATATAATATTCTACCTTTTTAATATTTCCCAAAATATTTCATTCGTCCCGCACTACGTTTCTACAAAAGGCAGGATCAGCAGCAGAAGAGGACAACTTCCCGAGAATTTTCTGTGGAAAGGGGAGAAGATATTATGAGACCAGGATTAAATCGGGTACAATGCTGGCGCCTGGGAATGACGGTGTCAGTGCCCTAATTGGGTTGCTGATGGCCAAAAAAATAAAATTGGGATAACCAGAGGTGAGATTTTCTATGCAATGAGCCCCATTGAGTCCTGGTTTCAAAAACCTATTCCTGCTCAGAGGGAGGAGGAATTCCCCATCTGAAGGCATATCAGGGAGGCTTCTGCTGCTCCCTTCCCTCCTCCCTTTCATCTTCCGGGATTCCAGTGCTTTGGGTTCCCCCAAGTTTCCTACAACCTGGATCCCTCTTTCCTTCCCCTTCTCTTCCCTCCACCTTTTATAAAATGTCCCCTAAAAACTGTACTTATCAACAATCCATGTTGGCCTGCAGTGATGTGAGAATGGACTCCCCGCCCCCCCCCTCTCTGAATGGAAAATTGGAGTGACCAGGTAAGGTTTCCTCCTGCTTTTGAGGCTCCGGTATTGGAAAAACAACCCCTTATTTATTTATTGGTTTGTCAAAACACGTAAAAGATAACAGGTATAAGTATAAACATGGACATGAGCACATGAAATGAGTACAAACAAATGGGGACAGTAGGACAGGGACGGTAGGCACGCTGGTGCGCTTATGCACGCCCCCTTCATGGAATCCCTTTAAGAATGGGGTGAGGTCCACAGTGGACAGTTTAAGATTGAAGCTGGGTGGGGGTTGGAGGATGTAGCCACGGAGTCAAGTAGAGCATTCCAGGCGTTGACCACTCTGGTGCTGCAATCGAGTTTGGAGCGGTTTACCTTGAGTTTGTATCGATCGTTTGCCCGTGTATTATTGTGGTGGAAGCTGAAGTAGTCATCAACAGATAGGATGTGGTAGCCGATAATTTCGTGTACTATGCTTAGATCCGATTGCAGGCAGCGCAGTTCCAGATTTGTCCAAGGCCAAAATTTTGAGACTGGTGGCATAATGTTGTGGCCCAGCCGGAGCCGTTGGAGCTGCCGATGGACTCCGATAGCGAGGGACCCTATGAGTCGGCTCTGGAAGATGTGGAGGACCCTGGGCAGAGTTCAGACTCTGAGCAGGGACCAGAGAGGCTGGTTGGCCACCATGAGGGGCCTGAGGCATGGAGCAGTGGTGAAAGTCAAAGGGAATTTGTCCCTGACACCTGGCAGAGGAGAGCGGAGAAACGAAGGCAGCAATTACGGAGATAGACTCATAGGAGATAATCAGGCCCAGGTGGTTGTGATTTGGCTCCTCCCAAGAGAGTAT